CCCCTATCTGATTTTGAATAGCAGTGCATGTGACTTTTATTCTTTTATAATTAAATTGAGTTTCACTCGTGGTATTCTCTGAATCCCCAAAAAACTTGAGACAGACTGGCTTCTATTAAAATGCAGGATATGATGTCATGGCACATGGAAAACGATGCGAATGAGCCATTTGCAGGGCACAAGGTCGCAAAACACAATCCAAATCAGACTCCTGTCACTGTAATATGCAGACCAATACGGTTTCAATTACTTCAGATCAGTTTTTTATGGCTGACTATTTAAAAGTCTTGATCAACAGGCTAAAACCACGAACACACTCACGCCCACGCAGGCTCTCTCTCTCAAAAAGACACTGCATTTATCAGTGTGGGTGGGCACTGCGCCGATGTCAGCTGATCCAAACACTTCAGGTGCGTATGTGGCTGCCATGAGACAAATACTTTTTCAAGAAACAAATTCTTAGGTGCGGATAATTTTTTTCTGAATCTGCTAATGTATCTACTCATCTGTGATAATTTTTTGTGAATCATTTTTTACATTATTAAATATTTTGCTCACGGGATTCTGCACTGTCCCCTTCGGTAATCTGTTAGAAACTTGCTCATGTCTCAGAGGGAATTTTTTTTTTTTTAGCTGAGCGGTGCGTGTAGAAACACGATGAATACAGAAATATGTGATCGGTGTTCGCGGCTAAGGCAGGAACAGTTAGGTAAGAGGTGGCTGTTCCTGGTGAAATTCCATCTTAAATCAGCCAAGTTTGAAACAGCTTGTAAAGATGTGTCTTTGGCATTTTAGCTGGTCGACTAGCTGTTAACCTGCTGGACAGCCTTTGTAGGCACTTTTTCCAGCGGTCTGACCATCAGTACGTTATAAGTGCCTGCATAACCAACTTTGGCCAGCTTGAACCCAAATAGAAGTGTAGATAAAACGACTCAAACCATCTTAAATCAGCTCAGAATCCCATCTGGTCTTCACCTGAATTTTCAGTTGGGGTGACAGGCAAGGGCACAGCTTTGGTATGAATATAGAAATGCAACAGATGTTACACTCATGTTATGGTGGGGGGGTGTCTTATCGGTTCTGTTTGCGATATTGGGGTGTTGCGACCCCCCCGACCCCCTAGAAATCACGGCCTTATTGCCCGATGAGACAGGAAAGGTGGAGGTCCTCGCATATCTGAAGATGAAAGGTTATTTGAATTAATTATCCGCAGGTGCGCACGGCTCATTTGATCGAGTCTCAGACTGGCTTCTCCCCACTGTAAGAATGATCCCTATGCTACCTGTCACGTGTGAAAGTGCCGTTCGAACACTCCGCCATCTTCTCGTAGGTGACTGGATGGATCGTATTTTCATCAACTGACAAATACCCCCATGAGATTTCAACGCAGCAGTTTACACCTGAACATTTGATGTTCCAAACCTCCAATCCATGTTTTTACCTCTCTGGCCTTCAAAAGACTCTGATTTAAACCTCCAAGACTTGGCTGGACCGTTTAGCGCCTCGCGTCTATCTCTCTCTCCCTGATCCTCTGGCTCTATCTCTCCATCTCTGGGGGGAACAGATGTAGAGAGACAGAGGGAGGAGAGGAGGGAGGGAGCGAGGGAGGGAGCAAGGAAGACGAATGAACGGAGGGCAGATTTATGGGGGTGTTTTGTTGGAGGGAGTACAGGATGTGGCTCGCTCCAGCAATACTCCAGCCAGCGGGATTACCCTCTTTAACCCCTCGCTGCCCAGAATGCCTGCGTGTCCGTCTCAGATGTACAGAACGAGCGCATCCCAGTATTCCTTCCTCCCTCCTCTCCTTTTCTTAAAAAAGGAGAGGAAGGAGCACTTTTTGAATCTTCTACATTTATTATGTGTTTGGCCTTCATCTGCCAGGAGTTCGAACTAATGAGTGAAATTAACTGGCTGGGTTTATGGGCAGGAGAGAGAGGTACGTGACTCGATTTTCTTATTCACCTGGCCCTCTCCGAAACAAGGTCCATCCGAATGAAGTTTGAGATGTGACGTAAAACTTCAGTTATTACAAACAACCTGTGTTTGGCCAGACAAGTCTTTGATTTATGATGTCGCGCTTTAAAGTCTTATGTTTGGTCTCATTGATGCGGCGATGCAACGGTTCCTGCGACATTTTTATCTCTGCATGGAAAAAATATTATTTGTCTTATATGACGTACGCACATTTTTCTGCATGGAAAGTTCATTAATCTTTGGCAGTGACGTACACCTGCAGCAGACTGTGCACTGAGAGCTCTCTGTAAATGGATGACAGATAGAGACCTTATACTGTCTGTGTTTATAAAGCAGACACCCCCTCTGCTAACATCAGTTTACTTAAGCCTGGCTTTTTATCTGCCATGCTGGTACTGAAATCTTGGTCTTCCACCTCAGCAAAGTGTGGGAACATCGAGAGACCTGTTTTATTCCCTTACATTCCATTTCCATCACATAGCTGATGCTTTTACCAAAAGTGACTTGCAGTCCATTAGATGTTTCTTGAGCCAATACCCCAGGAGCAAAGTGTGTTTAAAGGCCTTACTCAGGGACCCAACAGCTGCAGGAATCTTAATGAACTGGCACTCGAAACACCAAAAATCTGAGCTGGGGCAGCCTTGAGCATCTGAAGCGTCCCATTTTAGTACCTAATGTGGGGCCCTTAAATAAAGCAAAGATTCATGTTAGTTCACATTAGTAATCACATATTCTTGGACTTCAAATACTGAAATGCATTACGTTTGCTTTCAGCATCATGGACAATTCAATGTGGACATAATCCATAATAATCCAAACAATTCCCGTAATTAAGAACTAAAACAATGACATTTATGCTTTGGAATGGGAAGAAGCCTCACCCTGCTTGTGAACTACTGTTCTGCATTAAATAGCACTATATTATGTATCAGCTGCCATTAAAACAGCGTTAATTGTTTCCTCAAATCAACTGAACAGCAAATAGAAGGCCATGACTGTGGGCACCTGACTCTACTTCAAACTGGGAGAGGAATGCTGACGGGGTTCAGGGGTTCCCTCCCCCGGATTTTTTTTTTTTTTTTTGACATTTTGCACTAATCCCTTCCATTTATGCACTATTTGGCATGAATTATGCTAAAGCCAGAGGACAAATTTGAAAGCTTGAAGTAGTCATAATTCTGTGCTGGCTACAACTCAGTCTTTCCTTGGAATCACACAATCACACAAATTACTTATTTTTGGAACACCTAACTCATACAAAAGTTGCATCTTAAAGTCTTTTACTGTTCAGTGAAGCATTGATTTAGCCAGAGTGAACAAAGCAGAACAAAATAAATAAATAAAAAATTAAATTAAAAAAATTAATTAAACAACAAAATGAACTTGTCAGTGGCCAGACAAACCTGACGCAATTTCACCAACCAAATATTTTTAGGGTTGACAGCTAACAACAACTAGCAGACAATGGTCCACAAAAAAATTTACACTAAAGTATTATGAGAGTGCTAACGCTTATAATGAGAGACGGTTATTACTCTGCTAACAGTTTGCAGACTAGCTGTTTTTCCTCTAGAAATGAGTAGCTTCTTGGTAGGGCTTCAGTTCAGCTAGCGATAGCTGGAATCAAGGAACATTTAAGAAAGGTTTTGAATGTTATTTTTAGTTTGCTCACATCACTTAACACTTGTGTGACAAGTGTTGCCAGGCAAAACAAACCTCGCCTGGCAGCACTTATCTTAGCGCTTTAGCTTCTGAATCGATCTTATCAATGTGGTCTCTTTTGGGTACAACTGAAAATCTGTGACCTTTAGTTTGACCTTTCAAGGTCATTCAAAGTCAAAGGGTACAGTGCCAAATAAAAGCCCGTAAGTAACTTCCTATATGTTGACAATAATGAACACCTCTCTATCCCAGACTGTTTTTGAATTATAATGGAAAATAAGCAAATTTAAGCAATGACCTTGACCCCCCCTGACATTTAACCCCAAACTACTGAAGAAAACTATGAGAGATACCCCAGCATGTAGCACGATTGGAAGCAGAATTGAAAGATGCACATTCTGGATTTAGTTTGAAGTTGATGAGATTGTTTTAACCAAAAGTTATTGTTGGAAAACGATTTTGATCTTTCTGGTGACCTTAACCTTGACCCGATAATCTCCAAAATTTATACGGGTCTATTCTGGACTAATGCCCATCTAGCCTGAAAGTTTCATGAAGATTGGTCCAGCTGTTTCATTGTAATGTTGCTGACGAAGAAAGAAAGAAAAAAGAAAGTTCTCTGTTCTGGGGAAGGTAATTAACATTTGGCATGCTGAGTCCACGAGGTCTAGCTGTGGTCTCCTACATATGGTGCATTTTAAAACACTGAAGCATTACTGGCAAATGGCTGAATAAATCATTGAAGACAACTCGCAATATCACTATCATAACTTCATTTTTTTTTTACTTGTCCAGCAACTTACTATTGTTGTTTTTCCTACTTCCTTCATTTTTCTCCTCTTACTGTCTGGCTCTTGGCTCTTATAAACTCCTCGCATTTATAAACAAACTTCAGAAGACTGAGTATAATGCGCTGCTATGCGAGGCGGCTTCACTGTGACTAAGTATCACGGTAGAGGATGTTTTGGTTATTGTTTTTTAATATTTGGCGAAAATAACAAACCAAAAGTTCCCAATGAAATTAGACCATAATATTTATAAATTCCACATTCTATTAAGAGAAGAGTAGGGATCTGAATCCACTAATTTGTTCCCCTAACTCTGATTCTGGGGGTGTGTTGTTTGGCACGCTCCATTGTTCTGGAGGCTTCGGCCACGGCGCTGGTGGAAGTGCTGTCATCGGCTGGCCTTTTACAGGCCTGCACCAGAGGAAGAGGTCACTTTTGGGAGACTGTGTGTTCTCTTTTATTGTCTGATAATTTCCATTTTCAGTACTGCTAGGGTAAGTGCATTTCATATTCCTCTCACCAGTGGGCTAAGGATCTTGGCTGGCTGCAGTATTTTACAACCTTATCCTATTGGGTGGCTCGGTGGTGTAGTGGTTAGCACTGCTATCTCGCAGCAAAGAAGTTGTAGGTTTGTATCCGGCCTGAGGCCTTTCTGTATTTTTTTTCTTTCTTGCATGTTCTCCCCGTGTTCGCGTGGGTTTCCTACAGGTACTCCGGTTTCCCCCACCCACAAAAACATGCATCATAGGAACACTCCTGCCAGTGTCCCTGACCAAGGAACTGGCTTTAGAACTGGAGTTGGTCCCCGGGCGCTGCTCTGTAGCTGCCCACTGCTCCTCATAATACGATGGGTCAAATGCAGAGGACAAATTACCCCACGGGGTTCAATAAAGTGTAAAGAACATAAAGTGCACTGATTGCTCAGCTTGCCGAGCGCCCACTCGTGGTAGTTGAAGTGGTGACCTTTGTTCTATCTTAGAATGACATAACCACAGCTCGCCAGTCACCAGCTGCCACAATATACTTTTTTTTTAAAGAAGTGGGTGAATTATTCAATTAATTGATTGTCAGCTGGGGCCTCGTTTCAATTGAAATGGGAGAAATGTAGCTACGGCCGCAAAAGCATCGGAGTCCCAGTCGCATACCTTAGCCATGACTATAGCCTAGCCCTTCCCATAATGCCACATTACAAATACATATGTATATAAGGAGCCTGTTTCATGAACCAGAGTTACTGCGTGAGCCGGAAAACTACTCAGAGTTACAGTTAAAACTCATAAGAAAATGTTTTGAACTAAAGGAAGAGGATCCTGGATTACAGAGCTGAGTTATCCAGTTAACTCAGTAATCCTGCTTTGTTAGCCTCCTGTAAAAAGCAGCAGGCGTACACACCTGAGAGCGAGGAGAGGATTGTGCTATGTTTGGTGTTACATGTGACGAGTGTAAGGGTGACAGACGGGGGAGATTGAGAATGACAGATCAGAGCTGGGGGAACTCGCCCTGTTCCTGTAGAATCACACAGTCTGCTCACTTCTGTCATTACTTGGCACTTCATTGATCAACTACAGCAGTTGATTCCTGAGGTAGCTCACCTTACCTGGTTTTTTGAATATAAACTGGGGGGTGAAACCCGAAATCAGCACGCTCTGTGGCTCTGCGGCGCTAGGGTTGCTCACCCTTGGTTAAGAGTGGTAACAGCAACTAGCTTGCTAACAAGGCTAGCATTTACAGCCTTTATGTTTTTAATTTTCATTAGTCCTGCGCAATGGAGAGTGGATGACTTAAGGCTCTGAGCGAGGATGCGGTGGCACAGTGCTGAAGTGTGCTTGACTTGGAATCAAAAGGCTCTGAGTTTGAGTCCTTGCCACGGCTTTTCGTGATGTGTTCTTGGGCAAAAACACCTAACTTCCACAGTGTCTCACTCCACCGAAGTGTAGCATTGGGTACCAGCAAATGCTTGGGGAAACTGACTAAGAGCTGGGGGGTAACCTGCGATGGACTGGCATCCCATCCAGGGGGAGCAGCAGTACTCCTTGTCGCTTCATGCCGTGGAAACTGGGGTTAAGTACAAGCCTGATGAGCCACCTGGCTTGGGACGGACTTTGCCAAAGGCTGTGAAGGATATAAGCAATGTTGTCTTGAAAATCGACCGAATGTGCGCTGCGTTTCTTGGCTGTATTCAGAGGAGGCTTCGTGACGAAACAGACTTTAATGATGTACAGTCCACCCAGAATTTAGCCTCAATTACAAAAGGCTCCTATTATTTTTTTTTAACAGTACAGGCTGAGGTACAAAGGTTAAAGGTGAACTCCCCGCTGAGGCAGCATACAGTATTAAAGGTGAGTATGCGCAGAAGATTAACTGTTGTTTTATAATCGCTTCCAGCAGAGAGACGTGTTTGGCCTGTTTTTTCCGCTCCACTCCTGTCCTGAAAATCAGCGATCACCTCTGCATCCTGCTGGGAAACCAACAGTAAAGACATAGTAGCTTTTAAGCCAAAAATGTTGTAAACTCCCAACTGGTTTCAGAGGTGTTTTACTGGGATTTAGACACGGCCATTCTAAAAATACAGCTCTGCCGTGCAGCCTTACTGGCGAACACAAAATCCACTGCTCCATTTTTACGAGCCTCCGCAGGGCGCTTTCAAACAGTAAAGGAAAACGCGGTGGAGCTCACAGTATATATTCCTGCCACGGCTAATATAGCTGTTACAGACAGCGAGGAGCTCAGTAAAACAAGGGGCTCGTCTCATTTGATGAAGGGAGGAGAGAAAAATGCAGAATTAAGGACATAAAAACTAAACGCAATGTCAGAGATTTGGGAACAAGAATGTTCACGGATTCCAATTCACAGGTATCTGCACCTGTACAAAAAATGTCAGGTAACTAGAAATGTTGTCAGTCTTAATCTGTTAACTGTACACTCTCCATGTGAACTACTCCCTCTCACCCAGCAGCTAAACCTAGATGTCAGGAAAGCAAAATTTCAGCCATGAATACTGCCTGCTGATCTCGCAAACTAGCTCTGGCTCCAGGTAGAGAACTTGTGTTTATAAACAAATCCAGATTTACAACAAAATACTGGAGAGGAATTTTATTTCTGAGTCCCAGAATTTTCTCCTCAAGTCAGATCTGATGAATTGTGTTGCACTGAAGGAGACATTACTGAGTCCTGTGCCTGCAGCTGCCATCACCTTCTTTACCCACAAAAACACCAGAACATCTGGAATGTTCCACTGGAATAAGATTAGAAGGCCAGTAGGAAGCAGAAACAGACCAGTGTCATTGTTGTTCTGTGACTAATAAACTCTAATAAGATCAACATGAATGAAGGGAAGGTGGGCGGAGAGAGCAACAGAAATCTGGAGAGAGGAACGCAGAAATGTCTGGGAATGGAATTTTCCTGGGGGATTTTTTATTTTTTTTTAATCAAGGAAATTGGAGCGTTTGGAAAGAACAGCAGTAACTCTATTGATTGATGACCTGCCGCGCCGCAGTGCAGTTTTCACTTATGGGCAGCAGGGGGAGACATTTCACAACTCCCTCATTAGCGGTCATGCACCAAGTCTGGAGTAACTCCTCGACATCTGATTGAATGGGAAGAGTCAAAATAGCGGCACGTTAACCTTTAGCCTGCGATCTTAGCTACCGCGCAGAAACTCCACACTACTCTCTAGAGGAGAAATACTGCTGGCTGCTAACAACAGCCCACTGAGAACTGCTGCTGTTTGCATAGGAGCACTGTTTAAACACCATAACTGAGACATTTCTTTTGTGACAACCCACCTTTATTAAGAAAGTATTCCCATTTTTTAAGCCCACCATTGTTGTGACACTTCACAAAGATCTGCAAAATGACCACTAAAAACCTACTAGACATAGAACCTCAATTCTTTAGACAATATGGAAAATATAAATAAAATTAACCGGCAGCAATTTGCCAATCCTTTTTAACCTGTATAAAAAAAAATTCGGAGACAACAAGCAATGCTTTTACTCATTATCTTTATTGTTTTTTTGAAGATTATTGCTATTTTCTAAACTCTATGTCCGCAATTTGTTCTGGTAAAAGTCAGACAGGTGTACATTCAACTTAAAGATGGACTCATCAGAGTACAGCACTCCTTTCCACTTGCCTGTCAATCCATTTCAGATGAGCTCAAGACAGGAGAAATTGGCGGTGCTTCTGAATGGTATTGATATACGGCTTCCTCCTGCGTAGTAGAGACGGAACTTGTATTTGGTGGTGCTGCAACGAACTGCGTTCATTAACGGTCATCTGAAGCATTTACAAGCTTATGCAGTTATGTCCATTACACAGGTATGTAATTTTTAATGCAGTACTGTCTGAGGGCCTGAAGGACACGTGCATCCAATCTTAGTATTTGGCCTTGTCTTTTATGCAAGGAGATTGTTAAGGTTTAGCAGATTCTCCAAATATTTTCACTATATTATGGATTGTCCATGTGAGATCCCTAAATTCCTTGCAATAGCACATTGACTTTTGGCGAAGGGCCAAACCTCGAACCATCTTGCTGGTAAATGACCAAACCTTTTGAGACTCCCCAGTGTATACACAATTATAACTGAATCATCTTGTTACTTTTTCACCTGTTCACCTGTGGAATGTTCCAAATGGGCAAGGCAGCAACTTTGGGACATTTATAAAAATCATTACAGCTCATAAGATGAAATATTAAATATTTATTTATGTGCTATTTTCAACAAAATATAACTAAAACATAATTTCCCCTTAATTCAGTATTTATTTGCATTTTACATACAGCACCAATTCTTGTGGGTCTGAGGTTGTATGTATAGTACAGTCAGGTCCATAAATATTTGGTCATTGACAGTGCTAGATATTTTAGCTGTCAACCGTTCAATGTTTGAGTTGAAATTAAATAATGAATAGGAGTTCAGGAGTGCAGACAAAATCATATCTTGCTTGTCTGTGTATTAGCCATTTCACATTCCTTGCCATGCTTTGGTAATACAATTGTTAATTTTAACATAAATTCTGTCACTTTTATTGAATTTGATTAAGACACTTGAGAGAATAGATTAAGAGAGAGCGAGAGAGAGAAAGAGTGAGAGAGAGAGTGTAGGTATTTAACAGTCATTCCTATCCTCGTATCAGGGGGATGAGAGATACAGGGAGGCAGCTGGTAGACATTCTTATCTTGTTATACTGTAAATTGTCCTTTCTTACCAAGCTAAATATTAAGATGTTATTGTGGAAAGATATAAACTCCACCACAGACCTCCCTGGCTGTAATCAGCAGCACCACCACACACCCACACACACACACACACACACACACGTACAGCCCTTCACTCCTCCGGCCTCGCTCAGGGGATTCTGTCAGGCGTGAGCACCGGAACCATAGAAACTCCTCTGTAAACAGAGCGGGACTCAGCAGAGTCCTCCAGCCAGAATACTGATCAGACTGCTTTAGCTGAGATGTCCTGTGTGCTGACAGGCTTAGTGAATGTGTCACTCTCCACCCAGCACTGTGCTTAAGAACAGAACGTCTCCTCTGGGTCCCCCTCTGCAGGGTTCCTCCTGGGTTCTGAAAAATATTCTTCACTTTCTCCCTCGAGAAATAAAGTCAAAAAGATATTCTTCACTTTATCATAGTCGTCATTT